CAAACAAAGGAGACACGAGAGACCGAACGCCAAAGTATTTGGGAAAAGGCGAAACACGGCCCCCCAGGGCATAACTCCGGCACGGGCAAGGTTTCGAAGCGGCCGAGTTTCTCCGCGCAGCAACCGGGACACGAGAAGCAACAGGAAACCGCGGTGCAGGAGCTTGACGACGCAGTGGGCCAGCTGTTGGACGTCTGTCAAGCGTGCAGGGGCAGAGAGAAAAGACCATCACCTTCTTCACGTCGGACAACGGCAACCCTGAGTACGGCGACATGCTCGGCAACCTGCCTCTGCGTGGATACAAGGCGTCCAACTGGGAGGGCGGCGTGCGCGAGCCAGCCATCGTTCGCTGGCCTGGGCGCATCGCTGCGGGGGTGACCTCGTGGGCACTGGCGACGACGTACGACATCTACCCGACCGTGATGCGCCTCGCGGGCGGCTCGATGCCGCCTGGCCGTGTGTACGACGGCAAAGACCTGAGCGCGGTGCTGCTGTCTGGCGCGTCCACGCCGCACGCCTGCCTATTCCATTGGCATGACTCCGAGCTGGGGCAGGGCGGGCGAGGGCTCTCGGCGGTCCGTTGCGGGGACTACAAGGCGCACTTCTACACGCAGAACGATTACGCCACGGAGGCGAACCGGAGCAAGTCGTGGCCCGCAGGGAAGCAGGACCCGCCGCTGCTCTTCCTGCTGACGCAGACCGAGCAGTCGGAGACTGTGCAGGTCGACCCAGCGTCTGAGGAGTACGCCTCGCACATGAAGGTCATCGGCCGCGCGAGGGACGCGCATCTCGCAAGCATTGCGCCTGTCTGCTCTCAAAACAAGGCCAGTGAATGTGGCGGCACAAATTGGTCATACGCCGTTTGCGCCGACCACGACTCCAAGAGCAAGTTTCCCCAATGGCCGCTGTGTACGATTACCCCAGCGGGATGGACGGCCAAGACGTGTGTTTGAGAGGACAGTGCGTAAAACCGCGACTCACCGTAGCCGAGCGCGGCTTGCAGCACTTGGGGGGTGTTTGCCTGTCGTTCGCGCGTGCATGGCATGGTCGTACGGTTTCGTGTCACTCACACACACAGCTGTCAGAGTCACCTTGCTCCTTGGGTCCTTGCACTGTCCACTGTGCACTGAAATCCGTCTTCTCAAATATCAGCCCAGGGCGTGCAGACAAAACCATCTCAGTTAGGCCACACGTGATCACGGCTTGGCTTGGGGCATGCCGTAATGGTTACCGTAACCAGATACTCCCTTAATGTGGGTAAACGAAAGTAGCGTATACGCTACTATGAAAGAAGAAGCCGAAAAAAGACGCCGGAGTCAGTCCGCCCGAGCCAGCCAGCTGCCGGCTCGCACGGCAGCCTCTTCCTCTCGACCAGCCTCAACTTCCGTACAGTCAGCATTTTGTCGCTGCGTGCTCGTGGCCAGCTGTGGCGGCGGTCGAAGTTCGCCCAGGTTCGGTGACGAGCGCCAGACGATAGTAGTGTCTCTGTTCGCCCTGTGCATGTCAGGCCAGGCTGCAGCAGGGCACTACCATCGTGCTGCCCTGTTGCAGCCTGACTTTGCCCACTGTGCACAGTCGCCAGAGCACCACCACCGCCCGGCATCGTGTCACGGCGAGCTCCTTCTGCGCCCGCTCGCGAGGCTCTCGCGCTGGCACACTTTGGCCATCTGCTGCTCGCGTTCGGCGAGCTCATCTCCGCACTCCTGCCACGGTGCCGTCACCACACACCTTCTGGCCGGCCTGAGCCGCGCGGCGTCGCCAGCGGGGGCAACGCGTCGACCTCTCTCTCTGGTGCACCACGGGCCGCAACGGCCTGCTAGCAGCGTTGGATTTGACCTGTCTCACA